CGTGTCACCCTATGAATGGCTTTAGCTCCTCAGGCCATATGAGCCACGGGATAGGCAGAGATCAAAGAAATGGAAATTACCCAGCGCCTGCGAAATAATTTACATTCAGTGCCTGTAGGCACCATCATTGTAATGGAGAATGCAGGGACGGCTCCCTATACATCTGTATTTGCTGTCTTCAGTAAATTCAGATTGGAATTTCACGCCCGTATGGTAATTCTAGAGGGGACAAACCACAATCACACCTAAGTTCAATGGGCTCAGCCAGCATTTCCCCCTCCTAGGCGGGTTCTTCTGAGGGAGAGAGAGGCAGGAGAGTGGAGGGCATTTGCCAGATGGAGGAGAGGCAGGATTTTGTGTGGAGATTGCTGTGGTCCGGCCTGTATCAGTCCCATACTACAGAGGCCATCTGTTCTGGACTGATGTCTTTGGGGCTGCAGTCAGAACCACCGCACAGCCCGGGTCCATCCCTAAGTGGGGGAGTGTGGATCAGGAGAGCCTAGCTTCTTGTCATCTCAGGAGGGTTCCCAGGCCATGCTGGAGATAAGAGTCCACAGTTTATTCAAGCATCCTCTTAAATAGCTTTCCAACAGTGGGGGTGATAGCAAAAGGCATCTATTATCATATATAAAGACATCTATTATCATATATAAAGACATCTATTATCATATATAAAGACATCTATTATCATATATAAAGACATCTATTATCATATATAAAGACATCTATTATCATATATAAAGACATCTATTATCATATATAAAGACATCTATTATCATATATAAAGACATCTATTATCATATATAAAGACATCTATTATCATATATAAAGCTGATACCAAATATTTCCTTAATCCCAGAGCCAGTCTTAGAACTGCGCACCCTCACCAGCCTCCCGCCAGTCCCTAGGCTCATATACAAGCCCTCTGATATTCTACTAGGGCTCTCGCTAGTCGCTCACTAGTTTATAGGCATGTTCCACAAGCCCTATGATGGGAGTGCGTCCACCCAGGGGCCTAGACCTATTGTTACACAAACTAGGAACCATTCCCCACCAAGGCCAGGCATCGGAGGTAACCATCGGAGGCATCTAAAAGACAATGGGAGATTCAAGCTCCTGGGATCAAGCTGAGGTTTGCACCCCAAAATATCACAATGGACATTTTTTGGCCGACAGGAGATGGAGAAGTGTGTCCCACAACAGCTCCTAAACAGCCAAGACACTGATCCCATGGGGGCAAAGCCTCTGTGGGAACTCAGGAGAAGGTTGAGTGTGCTCAGAGCTGGGACCAAGGGTTTTCAGTGCCATGACAAGGACATAGGTAGACTGGGGGCAAAGCCAAACAGTGTCAGAAGCTGGACTCTGGGCATCGAGACCAGAGTGCTAACTGGTCACCCAAAAGGGCTCAGAGGCCGTGATTGGTGCAGGTGTATTTGATCCAAATACCTACATTCTCTGTCCTGGTTAGGGTTATGACTTGACACAAGCTAGAGTCATCTGGGAAGAGGACCCTCAGTTGAGAAATGCCTCCATCCGATGCCTGTAGGCAAGTCTGCAGGACATAGTCTTGATTAGTGATTGGTGTAGGAGCCCAGAATAATGGGGCCATGCCATCCCTGGCCTGTGATCTTAAACTGTATAGGAGAGCAAGCTGAGGAAGCCATGGGGAGCAAGCCAGTCAGCAGCTCCCCTCCTTAGTCTCTGCCTGGGCTCCTGCCTCAAGTTCCTGCCCTGACTTCCCTTTGTGAAGGGTGACACCTGTTAGCTGAAAGGAACTTTTCCTTCCCAATTTGCTTTTGGTCATGATCTTTCTCACAGCAATAAATAGGCACCTAACTGAGACATTTCTTCATGAACGAAATTGAGTATTATCAAATACTGGAGTTAGTATCTGCAGTCAGAGTGAAAGTGCTTTGGGGAAGGAAGCCACCTCAGCCCTCAGAGCTAAACAAACGCCTCTTTCTGTCAGCAGACACAGATGCTGCTGTGGCTTCCGCAATGGTGTCAGCTTCTGCTCCCTCTGTTTACAGTGTGCAAGCACTCTCTCTCTTGGCAGAGGTAAGTATGTACTGACTTGTGGTCCCTTGTGTAAATGCTTGCTGTCTTGAGCCATTTTGAAGGCATGTATTCATTCTGGATACCAGGTGTGCTGCATTCTGTGTGAATTCTGGAGTCCAGACCTATGTCAGCCAGCTTTCTGTTCCTACAACAAAAAATACTCGAGAAACTCATTTTAAAGGAAGGAAAAGTTTGTTTAGCTCAAAGTGTTAGAGGCTTCAGTCCAGTCAGTTGGCTGGGTTGCTCTGGGCTGTGGTGAGTGAGGAATAGCCTCATGGTGGGAGCACTCGGAGGCATGGGTATGCTGCCAGTGACCCCTGTCCTCCAGCTAGGCCCCACCTCCTAAAGTTTCAGCCTCTCAGTGGTGCCATAGGCGGGCAGCCAAGTCTCCAACCCGTAGGTCTTTGGAGGACATTCTAGATTAAATTAGAATAGATGTCAGGTTGTAGCATAGTGCTTTTGATTGCCACTTCAGAAGTCTGTTCTCTTAACAGCCTCATTCTTTTAGGTTCTGGCTTCTCTCCTGGACATGGTTTATCGAAGTGATGAGAAAGAGAAGGCCGTGCCATTGATCTCCCGTTTGCTGTATTACGTGTTTCCTTACCTGCGCAACCACAGGTAACAGTGTCGTTCCATCCCCATATAGAAGCGTGTCCTCTGAGACATAGATGGAGCAGTTTTCCTGGACAGTCTTTGACCTCGGCCCTTCTCTCCCCTCAGTGCATACAATGCTCCCAGCTTCCGAGCCGGTGCCCAGCTGCTGAGCTCCCTGAGCGGCTATGCCTATACCAAACGGGCCTGGAAGAAGGAAGTGCTGGAGCTGTTTCTGGACCCTGCTTTCTTCCAGATGGACACTTCTTGTGCTCAGTAAGGAATGCTCTTCCCCACAGGGTGGAGGCACGGGCCTTCAATCCTAGCACTCAGGAGTAACGACACCGATTAATTTAAGTTATAAGAGCTAGTTAGAAACAAGCCTAAGCTAAGGCCTGAGCTTTTACAATTAATAATAAGTCTCCAGGTTGTTTTTTGTGAGCTGGTGGCCCAAAGAAAAATCCGTCTTCACTTGTGGGTGAGTGTAGTTACATGTGTGTGTGTGTGTGTGTGTGTGTGTGTGTGTGTGTGTGTGCGCGCGCGCACAGGGCAGGTGGAGGCTAGAGGTTCACTTCAGGTGTCCTCCTCAGTCATTCTCCACTTTGTTCTCAGACAGGGTCTCTCACTGACAATGGCAAGGGCTCAGGGCAAGGCTACCGGCTAATGAGTCCAGTGCTCCCGTCTCCTTCCCCACATTGCCGAGGCCTGGCTTCTCCATCCAGGCTGGGGTTCGCGCCTGGGTCCCTGCACTTTGACAGTGCATGCAGTACAGCTGAGCCGTCTCTGCAGCCCCACAGAATGGCTTTCATAGCGCTTAGAAGGGCGTGTTATTTTCTTGATGCTTTTAACCACATTGTCATTAATTGCATATTTAACCAGTTTTGCTTTTTTTCATCTCTAGCTGGAAGTCCATTATTGACCATCTTCTGACTCATGAGAAAACAATGTTTAAGGATTTAATGAGTAAGTTTCAAATTAATTGTCACACTTCAGGACTGGTACCCTCATAATCAGCTTTTACCATGTCAAAGTTTTTTTGAGACAGGAGTCTCTCTATGTAACCCTGACTGTTTTGGAACTTTGTCCTTAACTCAAAGAGATCTGTGTGGCTCTGCCTCCTGAGTGCTGGGATTAAAGGCGTGTGCCACCATGCCGCTGCACGGGAACTCCTGTGGTGCTGTGTGACAGCTGATGGGGTGTATGAGGACTAAGTGAGTTGCCCAGTCTGTTGGCAGGCCTTGACTGCCTTTGTCTCACAGTGAAAGCCCATAGCTAGACACCTGTTGTTGAAGGTCTTAGCCAGCCATAGTTCATTAGACAGATCTCTGAGTTTTCAGGTGGGTCTCACTCACTCTGTAGCCTGGGCTGGCTTCACACTCTCAATCCACCTTCCTTGGCCTCCAAGTGCCAGTGTTGCAGGCCAACATTACCGTGTCCACCCCAGGCCTTTCCTGGCTCCCTGATATTATGTCTGGACCCCAAGAAATTCCTTTTTCTAGGGTCTAGCCTTTAGACAAAGCCCCCATTCTCTCGGGGGCTTGAAGGAAGTTCCTGCTTGCTAAAGAGGGAATCATTGTCCCGCGCCTGCTCTGTATTCCTCGCCAGCAAGAAATACACGCAGGACACTCAGATCCTTCTGCAGACAAGCTTTAATGCATTTTACCAGAGTGGAGACTGAACAGAGACTGAGCGGAGACACTAAACTAAGAAAACCATCCCTTATAAAAGGCTGACCAGCCGCCTGGGACGTATTACCCTATGAATGGCTTCAGCTCCTCAGGCAAAAATGAGCCACGGGATAGGCAGAGATCAAAGGAATGGAGATTACCCAGCGCCTGTGAAGTAATTCACATCTTGGTGTCTTCAGGCACCATTATAATGCAGGAACCGGCTTCCTACATATCCCCCTTTTTTTATTAATTAATGAAAAGGCTTTATATATTTTTATAAGCAAATAGGTCACCCAAATGTTGAGGGATAGAGGTAGAGGCTGAACCTTCCCAAAATCAAACATTAAGACTGTGTACAAGAGTCACCATCAGGCTGTTAGCTTGACCCGAAGTACTCTCGACCTGTCCTCTGCCGTTTTTCTGGGAAAGGGAAATCTCAGGGCGTCAAAAGTAACAGCAATCCGCAAGCGGCTGCATCAAACAATTACACCCCCACCCCTTTTCTCACAGACCAGCCAAAAATAACAGCAATCAGCAAACGGCTGCATCAAACAATAACACCCCCACCCCTTAAGCAGTGACAATCTCTCCACCAAGGGCAGGAGTTAATCTGGATAACAATAGCGGCTGTCAATTCCTGGGGGTAGAGGGTGGAGTTCCGACTTTTGAAGGTCTGTAGGGGCTCTTCGGGTGAGTCTTTCTGGGATCCACAGAGGATTTTCTTCATCCTGTGAGAAAACACAATATCGCTCCCCTGGATCTTATGAGAA